CGAGACGGCGGCGTAGCGAGATCAGATGCGCACTTCGACTCTTTCGCCGTGCTTTTCCATGGGCGGGAAGTGGACAAAGAAAGTTAGAAATAAGGACAATACAGATGGCTGATCTTCCCTAGCATCCAATATCTTGAGGAGACTTATACGAAAACTACATAGATGTTTTTAGCTCGCAATTTGGACTAATTTCTTGTAGTGTAACAGGGAGCTAAACTACCGATGTGCCCAGTCCAGGACCCGAAGCGAACCAGGGATAGCCAACCGAAGCCGCCAGTTTCTTATCTCTTCGTATACAGTGATAAACGGATAACGTAGTCGCTCACACCCACAAAGAAATGTCTGAAACAGCCTTGACTGTTCCATTTCTTCTCCAGTAACTACTTCTCGATTAGTTAGCGACGCATGACTGCAGTGATAACGGACGATCACCGCTGTCTGCACGATGACTCTCACATTGTGCTCCCCTTAGCGACTATACTTCGCTTCATGATACGTCCGACCGCAGTGAAAGGCATATACAACCACGAACACATACTGAAACGCAAGTCACTGGGACTTCGTCATTCATTATTGGTTTAACCATAAAAGAGCACATAAGTACAGAAATACGCTGAGCACCATATTATTGGGCTTTTGACGCTGTTCGATTAGTTGTGTCGGCTCGTAGCTCTGGCTGCACCCGGACTTAACCCTATCAAACGTTACTCTTTATTTATCGTGGGAAAAAAAGCTTTCTTCACAATCTTTGTTTGTGAAGAATATGCAAGGTATTTTCCCAAAGGCGAAGGTTTTATACCTACACATGGTGTACATAGCGTTTGAAAGGGTTAAGTTGAATCGAAGTATAGCTAGTGCTTTGATCCTCCAACGGCATGATTCAGAATGGTGACGTTGGAACACTCGTGCGTACTTTCCTTGCCGACAAATCCGCTCAGTCAAGAGACGATATGCGAAACTGCGGGTGGTCTGTCAGCGTTGTTTGCGCGGCCATCTTGTTAGCGTAAAGTTTCTTGAGTTTCGGTTTCTCAGCATTTTCGGGGCAGAGAAGCTCTGCCACTGATTCTGATTAAACAACTCTATTATTATTTTCGGACTCCCGATCACCCAACGTGGACAGAGAACTAGGCCGTCATGCCCTTCATCTCTGAAGACCCTTTCAATTATTTTTTCGACGCGAAGACGCATGGAGCCTTACTGTTTAGCGGTATACTGCTCCATCTCCAATACACGCAACTGAAAACTAGTTTTTTTTTACTTGTTACTGGCGAGCATTTTAATTGGCAGAAAGTTCCTAGTTCTTTCAAAGTAAACTGCCCTGGGCAATATTTTTCAGGCGTTGCAAACAGCTCAAATTGGTTTCAGATAACCGCCCTCAAGCACAGTTTTTATTTATTTACAGAAAAAACCTGCAGCGCCGAAAAACTTCGGCATTATAGCAGGTACAGCCCATGGATTAATACGCTCAATAAAATAAAAACAGAAAACTTGAATATACAACCTGGGCTGTCAATAAAGAAAATACATAAACATTAAACATAAACAACATTAAAAATCAAGACCATTTCCTGAGATAAATGGTCCCACGTCGTCACGAATAAAAAAAGACTTAGTTAACAGGCTCCACTGAGCGATTGTGCGTGGAAAAAATGAAAATGGATGTCGCACCGGTTAATGAAGATTTCTCTAACCCTGGCAGAATTGCAGCATGGACTTTCCCAAAACTACCCCCCGAGGTTCCTTTGCACTATACAAAACATAATCTCGGCTGCGACAAAAAAAAAAAAAAAAAGATTGTTAGGTAAAGTTGCCGTCACCGGTGTTGCTTCACCCGATGTCTGCAGTGTAGTTTTTTTTTTCCCGCCGCCAGAAGTTATATTCACTGCAATAAAGCTAAGCAAGTGATGTAATCGAACGTGGCGTTCGACGAAAAAGACAGCAAAAAGCCCGTCTCGGTGAGATTTTAGAGCAAACAGCAACGTCGTCCGTGTCTGTTGTGTTTTCTATTCTACAGAACTGCGCTTTAAATCTTCAATAATATCATGTTTATCAACAAACTACCGTGCAGTTGTAGAGGTGCTTTACAAACCTCGTTTTGCGACGCCAGTTGAAGTGTATAGGAATTGCTGCTAAGAAATTATATGATTTTCTGGCAAGTTGAAAGTAATGATTTTTTATAACAGATGGCATTCAAATGAAGGATTTTATTGTGTTTTCAGATTTTGTCTTTCACTGTTAGCAATACGTATACTAAATGATGGTTGGGGGCGTGGATTATTAAAACGAATATTTTGGCCTTGCTTCACAGCCTTGGTCTCGTCCGCATACATTAAGCTGCTTCAGCATCAAAAGAAAAAAAAAAGGTGGTTGATAGTACAGCATGCACCAGAAACAAAAACCAAAAACCAAACACAAAAATTCAAAAACAAAACCTGTAAAACTTCGTGAAAAGATTAGGGCCCAGTTCAACTAGAGTGCCTTCATGTGCGCTTCGCATAGAGTGATGCCAACTGCCTGTTTCCCTTTCCCACACCCTCTTCCACCGCCATTTTGTTTCTCTCATTGTTTCCCCGCGCGCCGGAAAGTGGCCTTTGTGTCCATCGGTAATCCCATCCGAGGGGGAAAATGCTAATCCCCCCTCCGTGGGTTCCACAACGCTGCTCCGAACTTCTGAGATAAGGTGCTTGTTTCCCGGAGGGTTATAAGCCCCACGGATTATCGCCCAGGAACAAAATGGCTGCTGGTTTGTCGGCGAGTGGTATTACAAAGGATGGCATCACCCTAGCAAAGCGCACATGAAGGCTCCCTAAGTTCAACAGTTGTAAATAGGCTCGCGCCGTGTGATAACGTCCGCATGTTCTTTCACGTTGTCGCCTATTGTTTTTTTCCAGAAGCTGCGTGTAAAGTAACAAATAAAATAAAATGTGAACCCCGTTCACGCTTGCGTTCACGTCACGCACAAGTCAAAGCTACCCGCCTTTTTTTTTTTCACAACAAACTCAGTGGCGCCATCCATTGACTAGCGCCACCATGTTTCAACTCACGCGAGAAAGAGCGAATATCGCGGCTTCCGCAGCACAACGCAGCAACGCGTTTTCGTCGCATCTCGCACGAAGCGGGGTCGCTTGCTTACACGGGTTCTCTGCCCGTCGGGTCACTGGTTTTGTTTTCTTGCCACTACCAAGATGGCGAACGTAGTTCTCGACGCGCAAATGGCATTCTTCATTTCGTATATCGTCTATTCCACTCAAAACAAATATTGCGAACAAGCACATTAGCTAATCCCAGCTTTTCGAGACTAGGTTGACATAGCTTGTTTTGACTAGGGCACGAGCGACGTCACGAAAACCTCGTTCAGAGCGTCCCGGAGAGTCCTCGAAGCATTTAAACGAATAGAAAAAAAAAAAAAAAAGTATATATGTAAAATTTGTCGAGTCCTCAGCGCGGCACTGTGCTGAGGGTTCGGTGAAGAGGGAGACCTTGGGTCACTGACATTTCAGTCTTTTTCGGCCTAAATAAAGCCAAAGATGTATAAAATATGACGCATCCGAATAGGGCCTGTCTTTAATGTATAACGTGAGTCTCTATACCTTGCAGAAGATTCAATAGCGCCATTCTAGAGTTAAGGCCGTAGTTTCGACGTCACACACCCAGTTCCAGCATGGGTCAGATGTCAGGCACGAGTGCAGCGTTAGGCCGTTGCTCAATCAGTGACGTCACACGTTCCAGCCGAACGCGGACGCATACCCTGTGTTCAATCTGTGCGCCGCGCCAGCCTTCGGTCGATGACGTGGAAACTCCATCAGAACGGCCTGGTTGTCTATACTCGCAGGCACCTCAAAAATAGGCTGACCACTTTCCTGCTAGCAAAATGCGGGACACGCTCACGCTGACCGGTGGCGGAGGGTGTGTGTAAGAAAAGTTCGGTATGATCACTACTGCTGCAAATGAAAAAGAAAGGCTATTAAAGGAAATTTAGTCAACGCGCAGACCACGATATGTGGCTCTGCTCACACATCTAATATCCCAGGTCTGCTGTCCGAAAGCACATTATACATAACCTGCAAATCACATCAATTAAGCTCAACTAATTTTCCCTCCCAGAAATATATAGGTATATATGTTTATAAATTTTACTTCCAATGAAATACGTTATTAAATGTGTCTAAGTTGAAAACATAAAAACCGACTGCGGCAAAACTCAGTGCACCGAAAGTAATGAAGAAACAGTATATATATATTTTTTTTTCCTGGCGATGCTTACGTTTACCAACATGCTCCTGCCCAAATTTAGAATCTTCCGTTGCTCTGTTTTTCGACTGTTGCGAGTTGCAGGCTTTCTGGCTCGTGTGACCGTCGCCTTCACTAAACAAAAGCTTTCAACAGCAATTCTATCATTGGATAACGTATCATTTGAAGATAATTGAAATAACTTATTTTTTCACTTCTGGCAAGCAATTTTTTCTCGCAATATTTTACCATCAAGGGGAGTGGCACAGCGGCGCATGCGCGTCGGATCTCCTGCAAGAACGACGGTCGCTTCCCGCAATGCTTAGATAGAAGATGGCGTACTATCGCGATTCACACGATCACCAGCGACCTTCGTGCATCCCCGTGCCTTGTTTTTCGATACCGCTATGAATTACATAGGGGATTTTAGGACAGTGTGAAATGCGGGGCATTTTTAAGTTCTACTAAAAAAATGCAGCAAAAAGGTTCCGGCTTCTCACGGAAAATTACCAATTTTTCCATTCATATGTGGAATTACGATATATCATCTTTGATTCTCTGTGTTATTTTATCGAAGCGTATATACGTTTCCAATGCCAAGGGCACTGTTCCTTCCTTCGACAACCATATATCGTAAGAACTACTTTGCGTAATGCATGAATAACGCGCCAAACTTTTTTTTTGATATGACAGATATTGGCCCAGTCATGCGTATACGGGCATTCCGAAAATAGCTGTTGGTTCTGGACACGCGGTGAGGAAGTTGTTACCTTTGTGATGGGGGCCTCAATCGTCATCGCGTGAAACTTCGCGAATGATTGTCTTCTGTTCATCCCAACTGAAAAAAAGAAAAAAAGAGACACGTCGTCGTTGGATAAAAACGTACCCAACGCCCAGTCCATGCGCTTCTAAGACGCATAGCGGACAACGTTAGCACTAGGTCATGCGGCACTATAACCCCGAAATCGAGGCAGGAACTATATTGAATTGTACTAAATGGCGTTCTAATTTCCACTGAGCAGGCATACAAAGCTCAAATATTCAACTCCGGAGTACTTGTTTTTTTTTTTTTTTTTCAGTATCTTTACCTGAAGTTTTGATTTATTTTTGTTTTGAGAAATATTTGAAGCTTTAAAACTGCACGCGACCGCCGTTACAAAGTAGAAAGCACGTGTTGTGAGTTTTAATTTCGCAGGAACCAAGTTGTGCCGTGAAATTCCGCCAAATCAAACCCGCGTCTACACCAGAATTAAAGGACATTTTCAGCGCCTCACGTCCGGGCGCCAATAGTTCTTAATCTGTTTCTTAAACAAGCTTGGGAATGTGCACGAATGGTTAGCTAATACTTAGCCTACCCATCTTCCTATAAAAGCTTCTTTATGGAGTTGAAGATAAAGCAGCATTTTTGAAAACAAGAGGATCGGTAAACCAGGTTTCACAATAGCTGCTAATGGACTTTTTTTTTTATTCCGGTAATATATGAACATACCAACTCGTCGCCGCGGATTTCACAGCACTTTACGTTTCGCTTTTTTTACGGGTTTACCGAGAAACCATTGCTGCCCGAACTCGGAAGACACGTGCCACGAGCAAGTTCCTCGTAGGAAAACATTTTCGAAAGGAGCGCGGAACTTAACAAAACGTTTTTTCTTTGTGTTGAATTTCGTGTTCCTTTGGGACATACGTTCCAAGAACGAACCGTATGCCGCAAAATCGAACGTAGGCCAGTCAGGCAGAAATGCACTTTATCTCTACCTTCCTACAAAGCTTGGCCCATAAGAAATAAATTATAAAAAAAGGCACTCCTCTTAAAAATAGGAAAAAAAAAAAAAAAAAACCGCAATATTTAAGTTTAGTCTCGCGACGTGCTCCTGTTTGGTGCTTCTACTTCAGAACGGCGAAGCACGTTTCAAAGTCTCTCCAAAGTAAAAATGAGTCTCACAACTACATATTACGATATATATATATTTTTTTTTTATTTTTTTAGAATGTCCTTGTTTGTTACAGCAATCATGCTCTTAAAATATATATATATATATATATTTCTTAAGTTCGGTGTATTTAGGAACAAGGCCGAAACACCCTTCTATTTTGGATCGACGTGCCGAAATATCAGAATCGCTCCTAACTCAACATTTGTCTCGCGACGTAAATACCGCGCACTATCTTTTATATTTTTTCCGCGGAAAGTTCTTTTTTTTTTTTCGACACACTCGTCCTATCCAATCAGTTCACAAAAATTGCTTTTGGGAGTTCGGTGTATGTCTAAAAACAAGAACAATTCGGGAGAGTTTTTCTACGCATTAAGAAAGCCTGACAGCACAGTGTTGGCCCCCACCATGCTCTTGCAAGGAGTGGACGCAGTGTACTTGCAGCTAAAGCCACTGACAGAGTGAGAAGGGCAGGGCGTGTCTTTCGAACGCCCGGCCCCCAGCGCGCACCCGCTGCCTTCCGTCGTGCTTTGGCTACGGTGCCTGGAACGCGTCTCCGACTGGCGCGCTTTGAGCGCCCTATTCCTGAAGCGGCAGAAAATGACGTCACAAAAGCCGGAGTGTCACGCTGTCGGATGTCGCGATCCTGGCGGTGGGCCGTAGAAGTTCCGACAACTGAAACTCCTCCCTGCCGTTCTCATCCTTTTTACCACTCTAGTGTTTGTACACTATTGACCGCTAGACGCGCTTCGGTCATTCCCAATTAGACTCGTATATACACTGTAAGGCGGTGCTAAGATCGGTTTAACGCCCTCTATCCACTCGTTCTGTTCGTGTCAAGAATCGCAGTCATTGGTCAAAACGTGCTTGAGCCCTAAAAGTGGCGACCACCAATAATGCTCGATGGCCTTTTGAATGGGCCTATTAAGATGAAAATGCGCTGCCTTAATTTTGCGCACCCTAGTCGGCTCGTTTAGAATATGCTTCCACGGATGTTAGGTTACGCTATGGCTGCTCTACGGGAAACCGCTGGAACGTCGTCGGAAGGCGGCGGAACTTACAGTTCGCCGTCGCAAAATGTGTTTCAAAGAAACAAAAGAAGTCGTTCGAAGTATGGCCGATGCGGTCGAATGGCGCGTTAGAATAATTCGGCTATTTCTTTCTCTCCTATATTTAGAGACCTTCCTCAGATTGTGTGCTATAGGCCTCTCCAGTATACAGATTTCCACCGCTAATTACTCGGCCAACAATGACGAGCTCTGTACAGATGCGCGGAGTCTAATATTTCGCAGAGGAAAGCTGCCGCGCATGCCCAGAACGAGTTTCACAGCTCAGTAGACAAAGATTGCAGTGCCACAGAAGGGAATTATTGGTACGGTGAACTAATATTTGTGGGTGGCAAACGGAGTAAAAAGGAGGGCCGTTTATTACGGCCTGTATAGAAAAAAAAAAAAAAAAAAAAAACGAAGAAGAAATGCTGGTGGGCTATTTTTGCTGTCGTTTTGTATTGCATTCACGGGTTTTCTTCTTTAGTTTCTACAGTTGGAACGTTCTATAGATGAGGCTATTCTGAGACCACGTTCGCGCGGGTACAGCGCGATAAAGACTGACTGTTCGCTCAAAAATGTCCCTCAGAAATGAAAGAAGAAAACCATAGCCTTGACCAAGCACCTCAGCAATACTGCCTCACTTTAAAGGCCCAATCACACGGGGGTACTCGTGTGATCGAGACATTCGGGTTTCGTATACATGGCGTGCACAGCTACTCCTTGAAGCGAAGCCCGGATAGCTAGGCCTAAGCCTGAGAATAATGTAAGGCAACGGGGCCGTAAGAACCAGCGTCAAGTCCGAGTGTCAAGCCAGTCACGCAGCGTAGCGGATCGTCACGGCGTTCGTCGTCTTGTGGCGTTTGCTTTCACCAACGGACGCAGAAGAAATGCGCCGTAATCCATCGAATCGTCACGTTGGCAGGGGTCGGAATTAACGTAGACTCCGTTTTCGCTACATATTGTATGCGCTCAGTGGATCATCTAGAGAAGAAAAGACATCTACAGCGGTCTAAAGGCATCTACTCAGCCAGGTAAAAAGGTCCAAAAGCCTTCAGTGACTCACCCTCGCTGCACAAGGAACGAACATCACAAGATGCCTTTCTAGAGCTCTTTAGGCTCGTGTTAAGCTGATATGGCAGGCCATCTACAAGAGAGGTGCAATTCAGCGGCGGTGCCATCCAAACCTCCTTTTTGCTCGAACAAGACGGAATCTGGCGCGCGTTGCTCTCTTTCGTTGAATTCTTTCTTTTTGCGGTTGCAACATTTTCCCGCCGCTTCCCAGTTAAGAATAATTTCCATCCCATTGCGACGATAGCGTCGTGTGCCGCGTAGCCTGTCGTCTGGAAGTGTACTAGCCATCTTGCGTGTTGTCCGGGCGTCGAGAGGGGGCGTTACTGTGAGCGTTAGGTAAGACGCGTTAGCTCGTCTGGTTTGACGGAAGAGTAAAAGAAGCTGGTGAATCGCAGACATAACTAAACCTGAGACACCGGAAGAAGGAAAGGGAGGACACGAAAAAGAAGACGACACACACAACGTCTAAAACCATACCCGCATAATATGGTGTGGTTTGAGAATAAACCATCAGCTGTGTTTGAGACGTTGTGTGTGTCGTCCTCTTTTTCGTGTCCTCCGTTTCCTTCTTCCGGCGTCTCAAGTTTAATTATGTCTGCTCGTCTGGTTTCAATGTTCTCGATGCGTTATGAAGTGGGTCTCCTGTGCCACAACCAGTTTTAGCCCGCATATAAACGAAGATGACATAAAAAATTTATCCAGTTCACAGGCTTTGTGTTAGGCAAACACCGATCTCTGGGAAAAAAAAAAAAAAACAGCTGGACAAAGTGCCTCCTATGACGCTTTGCAACAGCTGTGCATGGGCGCCGCCATAACTGACCTTCAATTTTATTTTCTCTTATTACGTTTACTTCACTTCATCGTGATTACAGCAAGGCAGGTTGCTGCCAGTTTAGATTCTACCCTGTCCTTCTCCCCAGCGTCGGCCTTTGTGGAAGCTCGTCAGCGCTCGCTTCACTGTCTCGGCATCTGGGCAAGACAATAGAAGGTCAGCAGTGGCGACTCTAACCTGGCGCGTGTGCAAAGCGTCTATACGCCAACGTGGTGTATTTTACCCCACGAGGATGTGGGCACTGCTCGCGCAGAAACCAGGTTAGGGTTAGGCGTCTGCGCATGCGCAGTACCGACAGCAGCGCCACCTCAGCGGCGTGATGTCGGAACCGCGCGTTGGTCTATAGTTCGATCTCCTTGCCAATAGGTATCGGTCTACGAAGTGCCGTTCGGCGGTTCTACGGGGGGCTTTGGAGGTTAGAGCGAAGACGACTCCGATCGTGTGCCGCCAAGGAGTTAACACTTACCGGCATCGGGCGAAAAAGGCTTCTCCATGAAAAACGGACACTCCTTGATGTACACCAGATGGTCCGATATCCTGCGTGAGAGGACGTCTCTTGAGCACGCACTTTTCCTTTCAAATCATGTATTTTTTTCTCAGGGTTCGAAAGTAGAGACAAGTGGGATTATTTTAGAATTCATACATAAACAAAACAACGAGACGGCAGACGTAAAAACACATTATGAATAATCCGTGGAAATATTAGTAAGGACAATTTTAAGATCGGCAGAACTAGTATAACTACGGTAGTGGCTGCGGGAAAGTGGTTTTAGTCAACGAAAACTTGGGGCGACAAAGAGGCCTTTGAAAGTCTTCCATTAATTTCTCTGTGACAAAAGTTGTTTTTCGCAGTGTGATGGGCATCATATAAATGTCATTGTTGTTGAAAGAACTGTGAGTGTCTGTCCCTCGTCTATTTTCATTGTATTTGTTCTTTCTGTGTGAACCGCAGTCTATTGAACGCGCTCTACTACGTGTACAGTGTGCTCAACTGTTAAACATAACGCGGGAGCGGTGGCCGAAGCTGATAGCCACCTCTACACTCCTCCCCCCCAAAGTAAAAATATTGCTAAATTTAGCAGGAAAACTGACGTCAAGTGACATACGCACCAAGCCAATTGCCCCGCTAATTGTAAAGTGGAAATTTATAAAAATGTAGGTTTTTTACTTCCCGAAACTACTGTTTAATGTCTTCCGAACAATCCCTTCTTCAATAGTGTATTTCATGCGTTATAGGACTTTGGAGGTAAATGTCGCTGTCAATTTTGTTTTATTGCAACCTGGGCCTAAGTTATACTACGCAAATTCGTCCTTATCTAGAGGTAAGCAAAAGCAAGAAAATCAGCAGCGGCATGCGATAACCGGTAAGTATATGCTCCTTACCGATGCTCATCGTTGCGTTCTGTCACACTAGGTCTGCTTAATATGAGGTAATTTTTTATCTTTTTCAGATATGGTATAATTTCTCCCATTGCTACTCCAAGGTAGTACACGACTTATTTTGGGGATGACACATTTACGTATCGATCATGCTTCAATGAGACCGTTCTTTCAAGAATTGCCTACACAGCCCATAACAAATTCTGGCGCGCAAAAAAAAAGAAAAAAAAAAAGAAAAACGGGCACGTTTAAAAAAAAAAAAGACCCGCGAACTTTGCTGTGCGCGCGTACGTTTTCATTAAGAAGATGAAGCACGCAAAGAGCACAACTTGCCACCTCGCTATCCTATCCGTCCTTTCTTCTTTTCGAAAGGTTAGAAACTGACTAAAGTGGAGGCCGTGAAGTATAGCCAGCAGAGAGTGGGGGCGGCTGTCAGGACCCACATGACGAGCACGCTCAAAGCATCTAAAGACTGAAGCCGAAAATAGCTCTCTCTCTCTCTCTCTCTCTCTCCCCCCCCCCCCCCCCCCCCCCGCCGCTCCAGTCAAGAAAAAAAAAACTGCTTTAGATTGGATTACAACCGAATTAAAACTTCCACTTCCGGCACAGCAAATGCTGTAACCCGCAGAAAAACGTGCCCTGCTTGGAAAACCCTCTGTGCATATAACGAAGTTGACATGGTTTACTCCTACCACATTTCGCGCTCAGCAAGAATTGCGAGGCAGTTCTCGCCGCGCCCTCTTCGAAAGCATAAAGCATTCTTCATCATGTGAATGCCGTGTAATGATAAAACTTGGTGTTGAGCAAAGTTACGCGCAATGTCACCAAGAAAGAAATCAGTTTTGGTATTAGGTGTGATCGCACGTAGTTCACTTCAACGCGAATTCCAAATATCTAGGAGGCCCCAATACTAGAGCTTACACGCTTCTCCCTATAAGCTCTAGTATCGATCAATACATTACAAAACGAATATATAAAAATAAAAAAAAACTCCTTACCCAACGAAACGAATATATATAAGCGGGAAAACAGGGTAAGAAAAGAAAACCTCCTTACCCGGTGTGAATTTCCACAGGCGCTATTTTGCTCCACATGGGGATGCACTCTCCAGATTTCCTCTTGTGGAACAATGTGCCCTCCCATTCCTGAAAAACAAGGTCAAAGAACGAACGAATGAATACAACATGTCAATAAGACCTCACTGCTTGTCACATGGCATCAGACAACGCTTCAAAGGAACCTCGCGGTGAACACTATAGCAGACAGCCTGTTACGACCATCAAGGGCGCTATCAAGTCGCGAGCACGGGCTCGCGTCTTGAGACCCGAGCAGCGAGAGACATATAAGTCCGTGCTCGTAGCTTGATGGCACCCTGCCTGCAACTCATGAGCCTGCAAACTCATGCTCCCGAAGTGACGTGTTGGAGGCGCTCGAACCGAGTACGCGCGGATGCACTTCAAGGAAAGGGTTCCGGCGCTGCAGTGCTGACCCCCTTTGTCGTTTAATTCTGGTTGTACGCTCGTTAATAAATAAGGAAGTCTCGTGTTTCTGACGTCACGCTGGGGAGGTGACGCTGGCTGCGGGACGGATTCCCGCGCTCCGTGTTTAAAAATAATCTATAAATCGTGAAACAGATATGAGCAGCTGATGGCCCCTTGACCCACTTGAGCTTGACTAGGACCGACTGAGACAAGACCGGTTTTTAAGCCTTTCGGGACGGCTTACGACCGGCTGCATTGATGAGCAGACGGTCGTAAGTGTGTGTGAACAAGTGTGAACGGGCCTTAACGCGTTGCGTCGCGCCGCCGGGCGACGTAACCTTAGCAACCGTCGCCGACGCGGCGACGCGGCCTTCGGCCACATCTTAGCATCAGCGATGATTGCTATAGATACACCGTTTTATTTTTCTTATTCAGTTGCATTTCACGTTTTAGTTCACTGATGATGCGATCGACGACCTCACGCGCCGCTGCAGTCTGCCTTTCGTTGGCGTTTCAATAGAAAACAAATCAAAACCGCGTTGCAACAATTTGAGCTTGGGAAACGCCCCGCTCACTGTGACACGTTGTTCAGTAGCGTGATTTCGGATATAGATGGGATGAGCCAGTATCACCAAACAGACAAGGCCTGCGCATGACGCCATCCTTAGTGGCTTCCCGACCTGCCCCAAGCGGCAAACAGGCCGAAACTTGGCGAGTGTCACCGCAAAGCGCCTGACGCGTCCGTCGTGACGTCGCCGCGTACTATAGCGTTGTGCAGCGTCTCACGAGCGAAATGCAAGTACGCGGCAATACTACGACGGACGCGTCTGCCGCTTTTGCGGCGACCCTTGTGAAGCTTCAGCCTGTTACCGCTTTGGGGTGTGTCGGTGATCCACCAACGATGACGTCGTTCGCGGGCCTTGACTTCTAGGTGGTATTGGATTGGCCGTCCGAGTCACACCGCGAGAACACCTGCTATATGACAAGGCCGTCTTGCTGAATTTCTGACGTCATCTACCGAAGGCCAGAACAGATCGGGCACACGAGTCCTGCGTCAGGGTTCGGCTGGGGATCGCGTTCAATCAGAGACGACACGGGTCCCGGCCGAACTCTGACGCAGCGCTCGTAGGTGGGTGGGGTACTACATCCAGCACTAGTTACTGAAAGAGGGCAAGAGAGGAAAGGGGAAAAGGCTACCGGCGCTTTCCTTCTTGCTCGGTAGTTAGGAACGAGCGGAAGACCCGGATACTGACATCTTGCAGTGGCGACATTGACTCGATTTTACCACCTACAGCACTTAGTCGAAGGCCCATTTCCGCCGCAGGGCTGTAACTGGACATTGTCCAAAAAATTGGTTATAATGCTTTCCTTAATCGTGATCTCCTGCGTGATAGCAGAAAGCAGTGAACTTAAGTTGACCATCACAGCACGACTGGGTTCTTCTTTTTTTTTTTTTGCAATATTAGTGCATAACGTAGCTTGCTCCTGCACCGATTTCGAATCGTTGAATCATTGATCAACTTGCTCCGGTAATGGGCTCATCTAAAATTTCCTATTTTCAGTTCAAGACAAAATACACACTCGTCGACACGGGATTTTCAATTAGAACTTTTATAAACACCTGCAAGCCGAAGGGAGCTGCCCCGATTGCTCACTGCGATGCTCTTATTTCGCGCGTCCTTGTTCACATCATATTGCCGCGCGCGCATCTGGCCAAGTAGGCAGCGCGCGCGTGGCCTAACGGTTATTGCGCCTGCCTCCCACGCGAAAAGCCAGGGTTCGATTCCTGGGAGCGACGCATCTTCTGTTTATTGCTGCAATTTAGCATTCTGGTAAATTCGAGAATCCTGTTGGCTTGTTCGAGGTCTGAATGAGCTCTACACGTCGAACCTTCTACGCCGATTATTCCTGAAGCCCGCGCGTGCACATAAGGGGCTTCGCGTGGCGAGCCAAGGTCAGTTTCGCCTCAGCGTTTGATCCTGCTGTTACGCCGACTTCGACGCCTGCGACGCTCCGTTGTTATCTTTTTTCCTTTTTGTTTTGGGCACAAGTTCGCCCCATTGAACGTTTAGTTTCCTCAGTTAATCTTTGTTTCATCAACTCTTCATTCGTGACAATATTTCATTGTTGTGGACGACACAAAACGCCAAACATATTCTCGGTGTACTGCGTCTAGAATGGCAAAAACGACGAAGAGAAAGTCAATCGCTGTAAAGTACTCAAAATGATGTATCAGGTTCCAGTGTAACTTAATGCAATATTTTGAGCACTGATGTTCGATTTCTATCGGTGGCGCGTTCAGTGCCGCTCTTCTCGGCATTGCCTCACTGGCGGATGCCGTAATGCTGTGCAAGAAACGTTCCCAGTGAGCTGAAAAACGACATCCGTGGCACACAGGAACACAAGACGCGCTCCCTAAGTCAGATTCTCGGCACTTTGGAATACCCAACTAGCACACCCAACGCGAGAGCGGCGCCCCGAAGAGCACTTTCGCCAACGTTTCTAATTACTCAGGCCGGCCGCGAAACCCGCTAGATGGCGCTACATTAATCAAAATGGCGTTACCCACGATCAAACGGTCTGTAGGGCGAGCATGCACCCACCTTGCCTTTCTTGAGCTGCGTGCTGATGGTCTGCACCACGTCTGTCTTGAGGGAGTCGGTCCGATGGAGTTCCTGCGCGTTCACGCCCAGCATCTCCTCCACCGAGTAACCAACCAGCTTCTCGGCCGCCCGGTTCATGAACTGCGAGCAGATTTCGTCAATCAATTACACGGTCCCATTGGTCTCTCCCCCCATCCCGCTATTCCCCATACCTCCCACGTTGTTCTCCAACTAGACGCCTTGACAACAAGGCATCCAAGCGTCTTACAAAAAAAAAAAACAAAAAAAAAACAAGAAGAAAAAAAAGCAGTTCTGCGTGAATCCAGCATGTAGGCGCATGCATGCTTTTGAGGGAGAGGAGTAGGCGAGACGGCGTAGGGACGTCAGAAAACCGAGCTCTGATTGGACCAATTAGTGGGTAGAGGGAAAGCTAGCTACCTTTATCTGCACTGCACTCTTCGAACGGTTTGAACGCGAAACGCCGGCGTCCGGTGTTCACGTTCGTTCGCGTTCGAACGGGGTCGAAGGGTTCAGTGTAGACGAAGGCCGTTTTCCAAAGTTTACTTGATCTCACTCTAGGGTGCAGTATACTCTAGGGTAATGATTCTGTACATTGGCATTCCGAAACCTACCCGCACCCAGCGTTGCCCTATCCGTCTCGTCACGTGACACAATATAACGAAGTAGCTCGGATTCTTTCGAGTCAAGGCCCCTACGCACCGTTGCGTTGGAGACCGTTTGAGGGCGTTTGACTGCGTTGCGGCAGCGAAAAACCAGGACATCCATGCGTGTTATGTCGCGTGCCAAGCTATTCCTTGAATTGCATTCCACGGCTCATACGAAGCGCAGATTAGCCGGTGACTCGCTTTCGTTTCTCGACGCAACGCAGTCAAACGCGCTCAAACGCTCTCAAACACAACTGTGCGTAGGGGCCTTACAACTTGGAACACAGTCAAAGGCAGCTATAGATGCTTTAAATACGCGCTAGATTTTGCCGCCATAGCCGACTGTGGTGATTTGGGGGTCCGCAAGGTGGGAGCAAGAAAATGAAGAAGAGAAAGAGACAAGAGCGAGCAGTTTGCACGGGAAAAGAGACGGAGACGAGAGACAAAGAGGAGGTACAAAACGTTCTCGGGACCGAAAGGGCAATCATCAAGCTCACGGGGGCTAAGGCTTGCAGCTATACGCAAGGTCTTCACCCCACGTCGAGGTCTTGCAGCTTTACGCAAGACCTCGTTCCGCCAAGACGGCACAACCAACCTCGGACTCTGCCGCTGCACCACCTACGTGAAAATGATCTCTGATGAAGCTCGCAGCATCGGTGAACTGTAAGACTTCCATTAGTATCGTTTCTTTTTTTTCTCTCTCTCTTTTCTTTTTGTACTTATGTCATTCGCGCTTAAATCTCGTGCTTTTTGTTTTAATCATTGTATTATCTGTCGAAATCTAAAGTTTATTTTTCTTTCTATCTATCAAACTGGTCTCGATATCCTTTCTCTTCGCGTCGCATACCTACGAGAGTGAAATAGTCCACTACACCGACCATCTCTTGTGTTACCGAGATGCCGAGCCATCGAAGCGGCTGTTGACGAGCTTCTACAGGCCTGCGCCGGGGAGAAGGACACCTAAAATGGCAATAACCAGTCCTGCTCTGGTAATGTTGAAGTGAAACGAATGCAGTAAGAGGGAACAGAACGTGAAGGTCGGTTATGGCGGCGCCCATGCGCAGCTGCCTGAAAGCGTCTATAGCTTCACCTACGCACTAATCATTCCATGGTCAGAGCGCGGCGCAGTAGCGCACCCGCGCGATCTCGTTTCCTCCTCTCCCTCTGTTTCTGCCCGGATAGTGAAAGTGAGAGCTGCGACATCTTATATTTTTTTATAGATCTTGCACAGGAACCATCACCAATGTCTGCTTGGAGAGCGACACATTCATCCGTAACTATCTAGATCAGGGGTGGCCGAACCGCGGTTCTCGAACCTCATTGATAACGAGTGCTGCGTCACCGCTCACTCGGGGATCGTGTTCGGTTGCCTTATATGGCAGGTATTGGTACGAGCACACCGAGACAAGGAGCATTTGTTAGCGCCCTTTTTTAAATATTGAAACAATCATAAAAGGTAAACTCCGCCCGACGTTCCGTCCGCATAGGATATTGGACGTCTTGCGGAGTCTCGTTTTTGTGAGCGCAGCGTCTCCTGAAGTTCGTAGATTGCAGCAAACTATGCGGAGAGAAACTCAGGGAGAGGAGGAAACAAGAACTCGCGGCGACGTCAGAGCGCCGAGCTGTGATTGGAGGGATAGTGATAGACGTTAACGGTTTGACGCCCAGCGTTGCCTAGGAGCAACAACTCAATTTTTTTTTTCACGCACATGCGTGCTTAAATACATTGAGTGCGATGTGTCTCAAGGGCGAGGATACCTGCACTTAGCAAGGGAGGATCGCATCTTCAAAACAAATAGGTCGTCCCTTAAAGGAGCGATGCAACAATTTTTGTACTGTGCACAAATACCGCTTAAAACGGATCCCTAACGTTAATGACCTATGAAACACGCGTTCGTTTTTCACCCCACGCAATAGAAGTCCCAGAAAAAAATTTAAGAAAAACGAGCAGCGTTCACTCCCTCAACTCGCAGCCAGAACAAGCGGCCACGTGATCTGGAGCCGATTATATGCCGCCAGTGTTGATCATAGCCACGCGCTGGGGTTGGCAAAGCGCAGGACACGCGCTGAGTTCCAGACATTGTTATGGCTCGGCTGTTGTCGTCGTTGCACCGATTGGACACGGGTCACAACCCGAATGCTTCTCGAGCTAGCAATTGTCACGAGCCCAAATCGAGTGCCCACGCAATGCTCGGGTCCAATCTATGAACCGCATTCAAATATCGTCACTTGGGTGTACTGCGATCCCCGAGTTACGTCATCAAATTTCGCAAAGGAGAGATTGAATGAAAATGATCGCTTTTCTCCTCGAAATTACACCGCAACAAAGGAGTTTCTTGGCCAATGGCGTTGCGTGTGAGTATCCTTGAGTCCCAGGTGTGCCAGTAAGCTCGTGTAGAGAGAAAAACATTCCAATTGAATATCGTTGCACAGCTCCTTTAAAACCAAAGCCGACAGGGAATGCCAGCTATGGTGACGTACACCACTGACTGAAAAACTGACAAGAAAAACGGGCGCACATATTGCGAATCCGTATACCTCTTTCTAATTGTGCAAAAATTAGAAATGTACACCCGCCAGCAATATGAAGGTGAACAACTTACCTGGTTTCTTGCCGGTTTTACGGCTCCCTAAAGCTATATTAACTCTAAACATCTCAAATGGTACGTGGATTGGGAGTCTAAACTTTGCGTTCTAGCCCTCTTCTGGAACAGAGCTTGTTCCAAAACTTACAGGAGCGTCAAAAACAAGAAGAGGACTGTTCACCTTCATATAGCTCACGGGTGTACTCGATGCCTTCTCCAAAGTCGTCACTGCCTTCAGTCGTTTGACGTAAAGTAATTTCGAAAATGCCAATGTTGCACATTTCAAAAACATGTTTACGAAAAAAAACTTGTGAGACAAGACTTCTGTTGTTCAGTGTGCACCACGTCAGAGTTTGTTAGTATATTAAGTTTTGGACATCAAAAAGTACAACAAAACAGTGATACGAAAAAAATAATTTTAAAGGGCCTATATGGGACACGTATTTATTTGGTAATCTTTCTACGAAAATATCTTTTTCGCACAATATTTACATTGTTAGACGCAATTTAGATAAAGGTCACGGCCCGCTCTAAGATCCACCCTAAGATACGTGAACCCGCCCATTACTGCTGCATTGGCTTGGCTACTCGGCCAAACGCGCTTGCAACCCTACTGTCTGCCTTTCGCTACATCCGGTGCGTCGTCTGACACAGCCTCCTAGTTGTGCGGGCAGACGTGTCTCCGACCATCCCGTGCTATTCCACCACCAACTACCGTCGTCTGCAACGCCCGTAAGACGCGGACATGAAAGCTTCGCGTCGGCGTTCGTTGTTGTTCGCAAGGTAATGACGTCACGAGAGGGAATTATAGGAGGGCATCCCCGGCCATAGCTGGCGGCCATGTTCTGTGCGCGACTGCTGAGCGCGTACTGGCGGCGAGCTTTCGCAGTTCTCCTGCAAAGCGCATTCCGCACTATCAAGACTGCCAGTCTTTGCAGCCTATTAATACTAGCTCGTTCTGCGCATCCGCTCTAAACATCGCCCTCAAAAATGTATAAGCCGACAGTTCGTCAAAGCTACAGACATGAAAGCGCAGCTTCAAGACGTAGCCTTTACGCTTGAAAGGCCCGTTACAAAAAGGAGCTTTCGTAGATCGATTCCTTGCCTCCAAATATCTTAGCGGAGGTAGGCGCTGCTACTGAGCATTCGCACCGCTAGCTTCATCTGCAGGATTCCTGGGATCTTTTCCGCTCACAATAAGCTAGCGGGATGGCGGGTGTGGTCGCAGCTTTCGCTGCCTTGTGAGCTTATAGGGAGTATTCACTGGCGGCCATAGCTGTGTGCGCGAATGCTGAGCGCGTGCTGATGGCGAGCTTCCACAGTTCTTTTGCAACGTGCATTCCGAACCATCAAGAGTGCCGGTCTTAGCAGCCTATTGATGTGAGTTCGTTCTGGGCATGCGCTCTAGACAGCACCCACAAATATGGCGTCCAGTGAATACTCCCTATTGGCGATGTGCGCGATCGAAAGCGTCGCTGTGGTCGGCCTTCCACCATTGGCCGAATGCTGACTATGACGTCAGCAAAGGATTCCTCATCGACGGAAATAAGAGGAATGGAAGAACTTTAATTTCGACGGTGTTGGAAGTGTTGCTTTAAGAGCGCAATGATTTCAAGCTCCCACCATGCTCCTTACAAACACCATCGAACTTGTTGTTCGCAAGGTAATGACGTCATGAAAGGTAACCATAGGAGGGCGCCACTAAAACATCTCGCCGCTAATAGGGGAACGGAGTGCACCTACATCAATATACATTCTGTCTTTCAAACACAATATTTTATTTTTACAAGGTCTACCGTAATGCGATGGTATGAACATTGCAAAGTAGTGTTGCAGGACATTTTTGAAAGCCTCAAAATTGTTTGAAGTGTTTTCTTGAGAAGTGTACGGGGAAAAGTAACGTGAAAGTAATCTGTAACGTAACGAGTAAAGTAATCCGTTACTTTTCAGCGAATGTAATCTGTAACGGTAATTCCTTACATTTGAGGTTCGGTTATTTCTAATTGTAATCTATGACATTTTTCAAGTAACGGGCACAAATCTGGTTCCAGGCACCCTAATAAAACCAACCGAGCTCAACGAGCTACGCTCGTTGAGTACACCGCCAACCCCATATTTGTTATCGTCTGAAACCGAAGCGGAAAGGCAATCTCGGGATATTTTTGAAAACAATAGGAAGTTTTAGAATAACGTACGCAATTTTAGCGCACGCTAGCGCTAAATTTAGCGCTTGTATTAGCGCACGCGATGCGAGAGTGTTTTAGAATAGCGTTTCTCCGTCGCGATGCAAAAACCCTATCAGCTCGCGCTTGCGACGCCACCAAGATACAGTCGCAATTTTTATTTCACACACGAAATGCTGCAACTTTATAAAAAAAACAAAAAAAATAACAAGTTTTTTAGTTTAGAGTACTAATTTAGATTTGTTTAAACTTGAGAATGCGACGCGAGCGATTGACCGGGGTCGTGTCAGCTTGCGTTGCCTCGACAAGAGAGGTGTCGTACTGACCTTCGCACATCGCACCTTCGCCGCGAAATGTTCGCGCGTCGCAAGCATCAAGTTGCCGGTGATCGTTGTCAAACCGAGTACAATGTCGTCCTGTCTTGAAAATCGCAGTCGCGAGAATGCCGCCGACGTCGCACTCACGGCGCCGCCAAAGCAGCCGCCGACATAATCCTCGAAGCCGCCATTTTTTTTAAACTCTGCTCGTCTTGGCTTTAGCCAAATTATCATCACGAATCCTCCTTGGAGAAGAGCAAAGACTCTTTGCGTACGCACGCTGTTTCCGAGAAATAGCGCACGCTAAAATTGCGCACGCAAAGCGCAAAACCTGGTTTGCGTTCGGAGAATGCGCAGTGGCGACGACGCTATTCTTTGCGTACGCCAAGCTTTAGCGTGGGCTATTCTAGAACTCCCTAATAATGACTCTCTCAGATTATTTGTATCTCAAACACGAAAATATTACCGATAAAAATACTATTACGGCATGGAGAAATAATTTTACAACTAACATTTCACACGTCAATCATCTCTTCAACCAATAAGAGTCGACAAACGGTGCTTATCTAACTAAGCACCTTTCGTTATGGGCGGGGCCTAGAGCAGGGCACCCCCCCCCCCCCCCCACCCCCCCTGAATAGAGTCTAACAGAGTATATATTGCTAAAACCAATGTGTCCCAGGTAAGCCTTAAAAAAAAATGTTTCTTTTTTTTCTTTTTTTTTTTTAAATGACTAGCTGCTTTTGTCTTTGCTCACTCTTCGAACGAGTTCAAGCGTCGGCGTTCGGCGAGGTGCAGACGAGCTCTTGTACGCACTGGTTGGAGGGAGACAGGGGTAGCGTCAAAGGAAACTACCCTTTTTCTTTATTGCACGAAAGAGAACAACAACCAGTACATTCATTTGCGTCTGCCCACTAAGCCTTCCAATCAGAGCTCGGAGCACTTAAGTCCACCGTGCGCTCTCGACTCCTCCTCTCCCTGAGTTTCTCCTGGTAGAAGCAATTTACGAGGCACGGCCTCGGCCCACCTGAATCTCGTGTCCGGACCCGGTGATGATGACGCCGTCCCGGGCAATGTGCAGTGCAGAGAAGAGCGCTTCGGAGGCCCTGAGCTTCCACAGGTTGATTAGGTCGTTGTGCTCAATCTGGATCATCTCGTTCAGACAGACGCCGAACGAGCACGTCTCCGTGAACCACTGGGTGAGGGAAGAGAACGCCTCCGGATGAGTGATTGGCGCTTGGGGGAACTCGACAGCGGGTCTTTTGAGCGCCGCCTTGTCTACTGCCACGAGTTAGGACTTTCCCCTGTTTCTGAGCAGGGACCACCGTGCTCAAATTTTATTCACATTGGGCTCATTCAATTTACCCTGCACCTCTTGCACCAGCTGCACTCGGTGCACACCGCAGAATTTGATTTACGAGTGGAAAACATCTGAAAACCCAACCGAAATTGTACATTGCCCCGCACTTTTCTGCACCATTGGAGGTTTGTGCGGGTAAATCGAACGAGCCCATTGCTTTGGGGGAGCACATGGTCTTCTGACTGATCGAGGAACTGACCGTGCGCAGAAACGCGATTCGGGGAAAGCGAAGCGACTGCGAATGCGCGGTGCCGACTGTCGATAGCAGCGCCACCCCACCGACGCGATGTCGGAGACCTCTGCGGTGGCGCTGCTGTCGCCACTGCACATGCGCAGACGCGTCGCTTCTCGCAAGAGAGAGAGAGAGAGAAAGAGAAAGCGAGAGAGGAAGTAATCAATTAAGATAGTGGAGAGTTTGTTCTTCGACACCTATTTCTAAGGTCGACAAATTTGGGCACTTTCAACAGAATTGTTACACGTATAATCAATTTTCGCCGAATATAAAAAAAAGATGCTATTTATGTTTAACAAAAACAATACAAAAATTTTGAGCGCCGTTTTTGATGTGATTTATATGTAATTTATAAGTGAGGTGCTTATGGAATATACCGTTGCGCGCGTGTCCCGCATGTAGGATCCTCGGGGACTTTTGAATAGCGCGTGTACAGAGTTCGCGCTGGAACTTCGAGACGGAGGCATCGGGCCTTCGAACATTCATCGTCTAAAGCTTTCACGAGACCAAAAATAATAGGAATTGAGCAGTCCTGCGTCAGTCGGCCGTACAGTCAGAGCAATAGCTGCGACACGTCACGGCGAAGTCGTTGGGCATCGGCATCCGATTCACGCACCATGGAGTGGGGGAACAAAAGCCTTGGGAACAAAATACACATCTGTTTTGATCAGAGCGCTTTTGTTTCTTTTTTTGTTCCAGAGCTCTTGAACGCGCGCCTGCCGGCACGAGCTCTTGGCATTGAAAGTGCTGCCACGGCAATGTGTTGTCTGCTTCTTTTTTTTTTTTTTTCCAGAGAGCGCGTGCAGTGGGCATCGGGTACTACAAAACCCTAAGTATAGATGATAATGCAATTAATGCAAAGGTGCAAGCGAGCTGGACAAGGATGACGACAACAATCCCTGGAGGAAAGAAACAAAGGGGACAAACACAAATATCTAGAGCAAGTTATTAACGCTGTGGCGCAGCTCCGTGGTAACGCCTCCGCTTCGCACGCAGCAAAACGAGGTTCGATTTTCTCCGGCGGCAGGCGATGTTTTTGAGGATTTGGGAACGTGGACGACGGACGCCCTACATCGCCAACTTCAACAACAGCAACGACAACAGCTACATGGACAACAGCCATATCAGAAACTACAACACCAACAAGGGACGTCATTTCCAGTGAAGGAAAGCCCAAAAAACGTATGCGTGCGAGCCGAAAGTTACATCGCGCGTGCATTTCTTAATTGTTTTAGTTACGTCTGTTTACGCGCGTTTCCTCCTGTAAGAGCGCCATCACTACCATGCTCTATGGAGTTAGCTTGGTCCTTGAGCGGACCACACGATTAACCTGTCAGAAACTGTTTGAAAACTTGCATGACGTACGTGCGAATTCATGCAATCAACTTTGATCATCCTGAACCTTTTGTGTTCATGTTTTTAAAGTTACTTAAAAAAGGTAAATTAGATTATAAGTGCTTTCACCACCAAGCAACACGCTGCTCGTTGACATGTATTGCGAAAGTGTTCATTGCGTCACTAAATAGCGTGTGGCTTGGTGACGCAATGGGGTCCTTCGGAAATTCGTCCATTAGATCGCTTCCATTTTGCTGAGCGTCCGTTAGATCACTGCTGGCGTCCGTTAAACCTCTCTGGTGTTAATGAACGTCCATTAGTCACTCTTGGCGTCCGTTAGACCACTCTAATGTTGATGAGCGTCCGTTTGAAGACTAATAATTTAAGTGCATGGTACCTGTGCCACGCTAATGGCAAAGTTATAGTGGATGACGAATGAATGAAGTGAAGACGATCGTCCAAACCGATGGTACAAAACCGCCGGAGATGTCAGCACAAGGTAACAAACGCTGTCATTAAAAATTAAAAAAAAATATTCCAGCGCGTGTGGTTTATTAAAATGCACTGGAATCACTGCCATCGGCCGGGGAAGCTCAGTGTAATGTAAACCAAGTTAATTTTGACAGCCAGTAACTCTACAACCATTGGCCGTCTCAGGATAACGCGCACATCGCGGACGCCTCAAAGCAGGAGCAGATGAGATGCCCCAAGGGCAACTTTATTTTTAACAAACACGACTTACACCGACTTCTCTCAAACAGATTTGTTAGGCTTTGTTAAAATGGTTATAGTTAGGCCAACGAAATAGAACTGAGCAACGGTACGCCCGTGACGCCACATTCGTTCATAACGTACGATCTTTCCGCATGCCCGGCTTAGCCTGACCCATAAATCTGGAACCTGCCTGGAAGTTTGTTGTGAGAGACACGGAGAAAATAGGAAACGCTCGCATATGGACTCGCTCTTCGGCGTCCTTATCCATTAATGACGTAAATCTAATAGGCCGAGGAGCGATGATAATCAAGATGCTTGGGAGTTGTGAAGCCCTGTGTTTCTTGGGCATGGAAAAGCAAGGGCGGAGCGAGCACGCCCATCAAAGGGCAACATAGAGAAAGCGCAGAGAACACGCGATGACGAAACAGCAAAGGGCACCCCTTCATTGGTGAAGGTGGGGGGGGGGGGGGAAACAAAAGCACCTGGGCACGTTTAGGTTGTAAACAAACGCGCGAGGTGCGCAAAGGAGCAGACGAACTTGAACGCCCGATAAGAGAAACTCCGTCTTTCACTCACCCTGTTGAAGCCAGACTTGAGGAGTGGGATGATGGCTGCTTCCTCCTTTTCGGCCAACCTGGGTACGGAGGGTGCAGAGTGTTAGGGCCACGTCACACCATGGGCCCAGGCAAACCGTGCAACAACAGACACTGCTCTCAGACCTGCCAAGTGCACCTGGTGTGCGAGCCTCCCTCACATTTTAAATGCCGCTCTATCTTGAAATGTGAAAATAAGTCAAACGTGTCAAGACAAGGACACAATACCCCTTATTATTACCACCATTAAAACGGAAGCACACTGGGAATGACGATGCATATTTTTGTATATGTTCTATTTTTTGAACAGTTTGCTTTTGGCACGCAAAAACACACAAATAAAATTACGTTTTTCTTTATTTAGGTATTCTCACAGTGGATTGCACCTTTCTGTTTCTTGTGGCTAGCTGCAGGTCAATGGACTCTGCTCAGAAACTATAGTAAGCTGTTTGCACAGTCAGCTTTGCGGCTTCAGGTGAAGGAGGGAGCACACCCTTCAGAAAGTCAAATGTGTCATAGCAGCCTCTGTCCATTTACGAAGCTCCCTGTGAATGAAACAACTTGCAACGACAGCCATGTTTTGCGCATCGCTAGACAGGGTCCAGCACCCCTTGATTCGGAGTTGTGACCGGTAGCTGCGAAAAGTTAATCTAACACGTCCACGCCGCCCACACCTTACTCTACTCCCCTGTAAAAAATGGCTAATGTGCATTCACCCTTTCCTTGTTTAACCGAGAGCAGCTCTTCACGCTGACAACAGGCTCAGGCTCACGCGGTTGGAATCAACGGTCACAACAGCGCTGCTATTATACCTGCAGGTGTGCACTTCTTCATTGCATCTGTAATCATATGCACCTCCGTTCTGTTTAGAGAGCTCCTTCAATGTCTTCAGGGGGCTACCGTCTGTTTTTATTTTTTGGGCCGCGGTAGACACTGCTCATACATCAAACGAAAGACAGTCGGGAGACACTGTCTGAAGAGTGTTTCTTCCTTGTATGACTGACACACTGGCCAAACAAAATTGACTGCAGACACGTTTAAAGCTTCGAACATGTTTCAGGCATGTCTGCTGCATATACTTCTGTCATCATGTCTGCAGCAAGTTTTCGTATGAAGTACGAGCAGTGTGAGTCTGGCTCCAGGACCTTCTTGCTTTCCCGACTCCCTGGTCAGCAAGAGTCGTCACAGGAGAGCGTGACGTAAAAATACCGTAAAAGAATACTTCGTGTTTCTTAGCTATCGAGGGAAGGACCCTGTGTCGCTCACCACCCTCAATCCGAGGATAGTCTTTTTCATTGTCTCTTCCTTCAGTAGTATATTCTCAACATCAACTAATGGGAAATTTTTGCGCTACATCTAGCGAGGAATTTTTTCCGCTAAATTTAGTGGGGAATTTTTTCCGCTAAATTTATCGGGGACATTTTTCCGCTAAATTTAGCGGAAAAATTCTTCCTCCACCTCCCTCGTCACGTCACATGTGACGTCAATAAGGGAAACGTCCCATAATGCAACGCGCGGTTACGCCTACGGCGACGGCGACGGTCGTTTTAGCTCTAAAAGTCGTTTTAGAGCTGAGCTCTAAAACGACTTTGTAAAGCAATTTTTGCGAGCTTGGAAATTGTTTATATATCTTGGGTGCGAAGCTCTAGTGTTAGTTCTGGTGGAAAAGCTAAATATGTAGTCTGCATTGATTGGAAGGCTGCCCGTAATGATCTGAAAGAGGGTTTTTAACCTGTCAATTCTTGCGCGGTAGGAAAGAGGGTCAGGTCTGTTCGTTCCATTAATGATGTCAGCGAATCGTACCGTCTAATTTATTAAAGATAGATCTCAGCGCATTTATTTGCACAATTTCCAATTTATTTATATTGATGGCAGTGTAGGGGTCGCAGACAACGTGTGCATATTCCAGTATGGTCTTAATTAAGGTTTTATATACGAGAAAACTTAACTTTAAGGGTTGCGAATTTGAGTGATCGTTTTAGTAGCCAAAGTTTGTATGCAGCTTTTTGGAATAACAGAAGCAATCTGGGGGAGTTCCAAACCAAGTTATTCATAATAGTAACTCCCAGATACTTGCAACCTAGGAAACGCTGCTAACTGGAGGTCTGTGTACGCTGTAACTAAAAAGGTAAGGGAATTTCTTTGGTGTTATCGGCATAGTGACACACTTGGAGGGGTTCAAATTCGTCTGCCAAGTCGTGCACCTGCTGGTGACCTTGGAGAGGCACATGTTTTGTTTATACTGGTCATCAGGGGAATCAATGATACTGTATAGAACACAATCGTTAGCAAACGATTGGACGTTAACATCGATATATTAACATAACGCATTGATAAACAGTAAAAACAATAGCGGTGAAAGACTAAAACCTTGCGGTACACCGGATGTGACATTGGATCTATTTTTAACATTGTATAAAGCTTTTGTAACAGTTTACTATGCGAGGCAACGTAACAAGCATTGACAAAATCTAGAAAAACAACATCCACCTGTTTGTTTTTATTGAGTGCGGGAGAAAATCATGAACTGTATGTAAAAGTTGTTTCGTTGTCGAGTAGCCCTCTCTAAATCCGTGTTCGTGCGGACTTAGTATTTGATGCTGGTCTAGAAAGCTAGTGATGTGTTTCCCAGTTAAATGTTGGAGTAATTTACAACATTGGGATGTTACCGGAATAGGACGATACTTTACAAATCGTACGTAAGGGATGAGATGTTGTTAATAGTACTGAATATAAGGAAGAAACAAGGGACAGAGAACAACGACAAACGAAAACTTCCACATCGGCTTCTTTGCCCTTTTTGTGAATTGGCTGAATTCTAGCTATTCTCCAGTCACTTGGTAAGTCTGCATTGAGAAATTGATACCTTTCCGCCTATGTCTTACGGTACTGAAATTTAGTATGCTTAATTTTACCTTTGTGTTCCGTAACAAGATGCTTGATGGTTAGACGGTTGGTTTGAGTGCGTCCCTTTGCAAGCTTTCCTTAATTTATTTATTTTTCTGCCTAACTGTTTGATCTCTCAGGTGATACAAGGGCTTGGTTTGCCTGGTTTTATAATCCTTTTAGGTACAAAACGGTTAAAATATTCTACAATAACCTTGAATTTACTCCAATTAGATTTGTATTTGGACTACAGGAGAGCGAAACGAACTCCTCGTAATGTTTTCCTAGAATGTCAAGGATATAGTTACATTCTGCCTTTTCAAAATCAAATACGTTTTGTTTACTTTCCGGTTTGTACTGGACCCGTTCGAATGAAAGCGCAAGAAGTACGCTTTTGTGATCGCTTAGCTCCTCTTCAATAAAAACCTTAGATGAATTTGAAAGTTCACTGCTAACAAAAATTAAATCAAGGATTGATCCCGATTCCCCCTGAATTCTCGTGGTAGATAAAATGAGCTGATCTATGCAAATATAAATACAACATCTATTAGACACTCAAACCTTCCACGGCCCGGCGATCTTGCCGACAGGCGTTTAGATTTTCAAAACGCCATATGACATTTCTGCCTCATTTAAAACGGGCTTTTCGTACTGTCCAGCATGGGATTAGAATCACAGGATTAAAAACCAATCGTTTTTAAAATTCCACCACTTTTGGTGGACCGTCCCCCTGTCGTAGACTTTGTTCCAGGATTCCTTGGTAGAAAGGTTGTGGAGATAAATGTTGCCATTAGGAAGGCCCGGGGGAAAATAATAACGGTTTATTACTCTCAAAACTAATCAAATTACTTTTGTGATTACCACCTAATAAAGGTAATCAACTAATTACAAAACTGCTCTAAAAATTAATCGATTACAAAGTATTTCAATCAATTGTATTGAGTACCGCACAAATGTCGCCAACTGCGACCACAAAGAAAACTGCTCGCGAACAAGCAGCAAAGGTTGCTCGAGCATGTTGGCGACCTGTGTTGGTTGTCCGTTTGCCCAGTGGGGACCGTGTCGTCAGGGGCTTCCGGACGCACTCAGCGCGTCACTTCGTCGTAGAGGCTACTCACCCTTTCTTTACGACTGCCACGATGCACGAGAACTGGCTACCCCTGAAGCCTCGCAGGGTCCTGAAACCGAAATGAGCGCGTTAGCCGATACGCGGTTTGTACGCTGCAGGGTTTAACAACTGGTAGTATCAACACCAACTAGAAAGACAAGGCCTGCGCGTTGCGTTATCGTTCGTAGCCCGCTCCAAGCGGCCAACACGCTCAAGCTCGACGAGAGTACTCCGGAAAGCGGCAGACTACGACAGAAGCGTCTTGGCTGTACGACAGGCTCTGGACGGCGCTAGCATAAAGTAGGCGGCGCTGCGTGGGTCCATTAGTGATGACGTGGGGAGGGAGGGAGGCTGCAGGCCTTGTCTGCTAGGTTGTATTGGGGGTGTACGCCACCACGCTGTTTACAAACAAGCCCTCGTTTGCCCAAAACGGGTACAGAAACCAGATTTGCGTGAGATCAAGAGTCTGCGTATCCACAGTCCCGACAGCAGCGCCACCACATGCACCTCCCACGACGAGCGGTATTCTCTTGACAGCCTTTGACTGTCAAAACCGGTTCCCATTCAGTTACGCCGCCCAAACTAAATTTCCACCTGGTTTCCATATGCCACCTCTTTTTGGTATAATAAGTGTTGTGTCAAGTTACGGTCATGTCCAAGCACCTGTGTGCCGAAAATCGGCACCTCGCACAACCAGGTTATTACGCAACAGCTGAACGCAAAAGCCTTTGACGGCCAAACCGTGTGTTGGCCAACAACTTGGTTTTCTCGGTTTTGGAACCACCTTTCGTAAAGTTGTTTCAATTGGAAGTACAGTTCACTAGTTCCTTCCTACCTGTAAAGTCTACACCTCCCACGACATATGGTATTCTCTTGACAGCCCTTTCACGGTCAAAACCACTTCCCATTCACTCACGCCGCCCCGAACCAAATTTCCACCTGGTTTCCGTGTGCCACCTATTTTTGGTATAACAAGTGTTGTGTCAAGTTACGGTCATGTCCAAGAACCTGTGTGCCAAATCTACGCTTCACACAGCCCAGTTATAACACAACATTTTGAGTTGAATATTGGATATCCCGTACAGCTTTATTCTTTCGTTCGTCCGAAACATAACTTTCACACCTGCTGTCTTAATGAAACTTGGCACACTTAATGCACAAACGTACTGAACATCTCACTCGCCTCCAAATATCACCGTCCAAGCAGTCCTACTGTTCTAGCGACGAGTGAAACAAATTTTCTACCGAGACAGTGATGAACACACTTTTCTTTAGTGAACATCTTACTCGCCTCCAAATATCATCGTCCCAGCAGTCCTACGCTCACAGCGACGAGCGAAACAAAATTTTCACTGAGAGCAATTATGGGGGTGGCTATCTTGCTTTTCGGAAAATTGCTCAATTGCTTTGCTCTTTCGACCGCAACTAGAGAAATCACCACTATTAACGATTCAAACTCAATATATATAAAAAGTGCAGAAAAGCTAGATGACCTTCTTCTGCCCATGCAACGTCACCCTCAACGTTTAGGCTCAAAAAGCAAAAGTTCCGTTCGTGCGCGCTTCCGCCGTCACAGCTTGGCATGCGAAAAGGCGCCGCAGGCTGCTGAACGTGCCTCACTGTCGAACGCCAGCTCCTCCGCTAGCGGCGCTACACGCGTTTTTCCAAGAGCCGCCTATAGTACCCGCACGGGGCGCATAGACGCAGTCTTGTACCCATTAGCGAAAAAAAAAAAAGAAGAATAAAACATGCTTAGGCTGCAGGCGACCGGGTGTATATTGGACCCCCCGAGACTGGAAGGACAGGGTGCAAACGGTAAAAGGACCAAAAAGAAAGGGACGGGCAGGGTTTCCCGAGCTCAGATGTAAAATTTATTTCAACCATGATATATTTAGAGTTCCCAAAGTCGTCGTTGCCACAAACGGAAGTGACCTTCCTTTCGTTTTAACGTAAAGTTACCTTCACGTTTAAAAAAAAAAAGAGTAATTGATTAAAATTACTTATTCTCTAGTTGCGGCATTTTTCACAAATCTCTCTCGACTTCTCTTACATAGAGGTAGCACTTATATCTGTTTTTTGTTTGTAAACATAAAGTTTGGAGTATTTTATTCATGGCATCTGAGGATGCTGATTTTTTTTATGACCTTCACCAGCTCGCCTGCACGCTTACTATTGTTTCGGGTCCTGGTGTTTTACAAACGTGATAATATTATTCCATAAGACTGTGATGGCGCAGGCGAGCAGGTGTAGATTTACAATTTCCTTAAACCGCCTGAGACTGGGTGGAGAGCTGGAAGCATCAAAAGTGGAAGGGACAACAACAGAAAGACAGAAGGCGTCGTCTCGAACTCAGCTAAACAGTTTATTTAGTAACACTTCCATATATACCAAAACCTCAGACGTCGGCAAACATTTACTGCATTACAAAAAAAAAAAAAAAAAAACTTCAGGTCCAAAGCCCAACAAACGTCATGACCTATTTTCGGATTTGTCATCGTCCAAGTATACACGCAAACGCTCTTGCCTTATCTGCTCCTGTATACACATAGAACCCCCTGCCGCTTTTTGAAACCCTGACCGAGCATGCTAAACAGACGGACAATAAACATTCTTGTTTGCAAAAAAAAAAAAAAAATGCTTATTTAGAAAGTTTACTTTTAAAGCGAAAAAACCCACACACATTAACTAACCACGTTACACAGGCAAAAAGGACTTGGAAGTAGGACCCAGAACCATCGACGCCTGACTTATGCAGTTGCCTATTCGCGTCTCTCTCTCACCCTACGATGGACTAAAGGTTACAGCCACAGGTCGCCAGGTTCAATCACGTTATACGTTAAACTATGGCATGCTTAACATTGATTAGGGGTGGAAGAATAATGCTCCGAATCAAAAAGTGCTGCATCATTTCTGTAGCTTCGAAACTGCAAAGAGCCTGTATTGTGGCTTTCTTTGTGATGTAAAATTGGTGAGTCACTCAGTGCTATTCAATTCGAACCACTGTCCGCCCATCCCCATTAAACGCGGGCATCGACACGTGCATTGAAGCCAAATAACAGGCGATTTCTAAGTGGCTCGTGATTGGATCTGGTGGTCCGTAGCTTTTGCCTTTAGTCCATCGTACGGTGGGACGAAGTATAGCTCGTTGCTCGCCCTCCCGCGGCGGAAACGGGGAGCGCTCTAATGAGGGTCCCCCGATTCTCCTGTTCAGAGGGCATGGCTCGCGAAATGTCATTTCCGAACGCAAACAACACTCTTCACTAGCTGTTCCAACGTAGTTCTGCAGCCGGTATGGGAATGCACCTTACTAGAGAGTTTTAGTATTGCGTATAAAAGCAAACGAAAGAGCTGTGCGTTTACGGTAGAGTTGCGTGCCCCACGTTGCGCGTGCGCCTCATCGCCATGCGTCAATCCAAAACCGCAAGTTTGAGCTCCACGCACGGGCTAGCGGAAACACACAGCGCTTGCGTTCGCTCTTATACGCAATACTAAAACTCACAACTGTTTCACCGGCTTCCAACGTTACCGCAAAGTGCTGCAGTGAGCAGACGTGCAAGCAGGTAGGCGTTCCTTCGAACTGGCAAGGGTGAAATTTGCAAAACCACGGCGCGTAAAAATAAAAGTAACTGAATGTTATAAAAAAAAAAAAAAATCGGTAATTAAAAAAAATATATATATATATTCTTTTTTTATTATTTTTTTATTTTGAAGCGTTTGGTCTGGAAGGATTTTGGCGGCAACTTTGTAACTCTTGCCGATTGTCAGAAGTCGCGACTTTGATAGCAAAATATGCTTTACCCACAACTAATGTTATTTTACATGGATTTCTAAAATTAGCGAGAATGTTTTGATTGATTTTAAACTATTTTTATTTCATAACTCGGTAATTAAAAATGCTGCATTTGGCACCAGTGATGATAATTAGCACACTTTTGATTGCCATACTTGTTCGCACGTTCGAAATTAGATCATAAGCAACACATCATATTAGAGTTTGAAAAATGGCGTATTAAAATATCTTAATTTTAATATTATTATTATTAATACAAACCACGGCAATTTATGCCACAAATTAACTCCACGATAACAAAAATACGCCTTTTAACCATAAAAGTCTTTCCAAAAAGGTAAAATTTTTTGGTTTTCTTTTTAGTATATGGAAAACTCCGACATCGTTATCAAGATAGACAAACATCCAAACACTGGAAGCAATATTAAGTGCTATGCGCCACGCGTTGCTATAAAAAACACACAAACTTCAGCTGTCTGACTCGGTTCTGTCTTTGGGCTGTTGTAGTGGGAATAGTGTTTATTAATTTATACGTTTTCTGGACATATTGTAAAAATTAGATTTATTCTGTTAGTCTTGTGCTAGGAATGATGTTAAAGCAATTAATCATCTAAATGCGCAAAACCAATTAAAAGGCCCGAAGTTCATTAATTCACGTGACAATAATCTGAGCCAGAAAAGGCAGCAAGAACGCGAAAATATCAGCACTGATTTTTTCAACAACTACAATATTATATATTACCTCTAAGGTGTATAAAGAACCCTATCCTTAACGGGACACTGAAATCTAAAAAAAAAAAAAAATTAAAGTGCCTGAATCGAACACCTATGTCACAAAAAAAAGTTTCCACGAACGACTTCTTTAACTAAATAATTACAACGTGAGACATTGAAAGAATTTGAAATGAAGACCTATATTGAAAGATTAAATCCAAAATAAAGGTTAGTTTCGGTTTCGCTCCAGGATTAAAACGTGCCTCCTGGAGTAAGTATTACGCTAATTTTTGTTTTCAGAATAAAGAAGTGACCTGCGCTCATAACACCCTGGCTTCCTCGTATTACCAGAAATAATTTCTGTCGCTCAGTGAAGCCAGCACACTAGACAGGCTCAGCGGGAGCACGCATCTCCGACCCTCACTATAACCGCCATTTTGGAAAACGAGTGGCGCCACCTATAGTTAATTGGGGTCACGAATAGAATCAATCCTAACCGTCTCTTTCACTTCCCTTTTGTCATGGTTCACCTCTCTGCACACGACTTCTTTTCCCGACCACTCTGCCGTGCAGTTGTTACACTCTTGTACATGTTTTGCTATATGTGTCTGACACTCTACTACCGTTGACTGAAGATACTGCTCCAAAATTGTGAAAACAAATTGTCAATCGAGATGGCTTTGGCATCTCGGTTGACAATATTTTGACAATCTTGGAGCAGTATCTTCAGTCAACGGTAGTAGAGTATCAAGGAAGTAAATATGTGCAGTAAGAAGGGGTTAGCACAGGTTCGTCAGTGGCACCGATTTTGACAGAAATCTACCTTAACTTTTTAGATTGCGCTGTGGATAATGAACTGAAGGCAATTCCCTCATACATTTGTATAGTTAGGCGTTATGTCGATGATTTCCTGGACTGCTGTTAAGAGGGGAGCTGGAGGGAAGGTAGAAAAGTTATTTAGGTCATCTGCCCCGGAACTGAAGTTAACTTTAGAAGAGCCGAAAAGTTATGTTCCTTCAGTTTTTGGATCTGAGAATTCATGTTGGCAAGGGTTTATTTCGGGAATATAGTAAGGATATCCGAAGTCAGTCCTTCCAAAAAAAAAGCTGCCATTCTAAGGGTGTAAAGGCGGGAGTCGTTAAGTCGTTAGTCAAGAATGCTTTAGACAGGTCGTGCGTACGTTACATAGCGAAGGCAGTGAAGGGGTAGTGGGAAATTTTGGGGAGTGCGGGTAACGGGGAAGGTTTTTAGAAAGAGGCACGTGACTCTAATGACCGAAAAAAAGGAAAAGGGAGGAGAGAAATTGAAGGCAAGGTACGCGGTACTACCATGTAGTTTCGCACAATGTGAAAAGTTGTGCGAAAAAGTTTGGAGTCCATGTAGTATTCAGCACAGACTTCAAGTTAGGTAATCTCACTCCCTTCCTAAAAAAGAGAAAGGGGTGCCAGAAGGCCCATCGGGAGGAATCGGTGCCGTGTGAAAATGGGGTAGTGTACGAGATACCGTGAGAGTGTGGATTCAAACACGTTGGGCAAACCTCGAGATCTGTGAATGACAGAATAACAGAGCATAAGAGAAACGTAAAGATTAAAGTGGCCCATTCACAATAGCAAAACATGTGCAAGAGTGCAACAACTGCACGGCAGAGTGGTCGGGAACAGAGGTCGAGTGGAGAGAGGGGAACGATGCCAAAAGGGTAGTGATAGAGACGGTTAGGGTTGATTCTATAGGCAACTGCATAAGTCAGTCATCGCTGGTTGTGGGTCCCACTTCCAAGTCCTTTTTGCGTATGTAACGTGGTTGGTTGATGTGTGTAGGTTTTTTCGCTTTGAAAATAAACTCTCTAAATAATTTTTTTTTTTGCAAACAAGGTTGTTCATTGGTCGTCTGTTTAGCATGTTTGGTCAGGGTTTTAAAAACTGTTAGTTTTTTTAATGCACGTAGAAGCTTGGTCTGCCGTCTGATAAGGCAAGGGCACACGTGTGGTTGTACTTGGACGATGACAAATCCAGGAAATTGTTCATGTTGGGCTTTGGACCTGAAGTTTTTTTGTTTTTTTTTAATGCGGTGATTGGTTAGGGACGTTTGAGGCTCTAGTATATATGGAAGTGTTACTAAATAAACTGTTCAGCTGAGTTTGAGACGACGCCTTCTGTCTTTCTGTTCTTGTTCTTTCCACTTTTGGTTCTTCTAGTTCTCTACCAAGTTTCAGGTGGTTCTAAAATATGGTAATGTTATTTCGTTTTTTTAATGCTCGCTCCGTCCGGGACCGGGCCAGGTCCCGGTCGACTGATAGAATAGTGAAAAAATTCGCAGCACTTGCTCGGACACCAAGTTAGGCCGAAAGCAAGAAGTGTAGCCTTGACAAGAACCCACGGTCAAAAAACGGGCGATCTTTTGTTCGGGTCTGTCTAAAAACGGGTGAGCTTTTGTCCGGTGAGCTTTTGTCCGGTGAGCTTCTGTCCGCTGAGCTTCTGTCCGGTGAGCTTTTGCCCGGTTACCCTTGAGAAGACCCCATAACGTAGCTAGGCCGAGCAGCGCGGAATGAGTTTGGCAGATCCGGCAGCTGCCATTTTTGAAGCGCCGGATGTTGCGGAAAGTTTGAAAGCGTGCCATGCTTTAATAAAAGATACAGTAAATTTGAAGGAGAGAGAGAAAGAAAAAGCACGTCCCACCTGCACAACGCGATGGGGTCGACGCAGGTCTTGCTGCGCGCGTCTATGAACACCAGGTGGGGCTGCACGTTGAGGTAGCTCTCGACCGCCTCGTCCATGGAACACGCCAGGCGGTACTCGTAGTGCATCTTGTCCGAGGCCCACTTGAGCGCATTGTACTGGGCGTCTTCCTTGACGAACACGAACAGAACCTGCGCAGAGGCAAGCAGTGAATAATCCGCACCCCGTATAGACACCACCTAAAATGGGCGATGTCACGATTTTCATAAAAATGGATCAGTACCACTGAGGAGTAATTATTGACTCTCAATACCTACGGAACACGCGTTGGGATTTCTTTCCACGCCATGGCCGTTTGCAGAAAAAGAAATGATAAACAAACGAGCAGTGTTCACCACTTCAACTTGCATGGAACCGCAAGAAACGGCCATGTAATCTGGTGCCGCCAATATTCGTCATAGTCATGCGCTTAATTGCGCTATATGCATTTTACTAAAGCATCTCAAACATGTCACCATGAACGGTTGTCTGAAAAGTTTCAATGTCTGTATTTTGTGATAAGATGTTTTGACATCCCATCACAAAATGATGAGATGTTCTGACATCATCATCGTCATGAAATCAATTTTATTTGCTGTCACGTGGTAAAATAACATGTCAACAAGGGACTGGGACAAATAGCTGTTTAACCGCAACCTGACGAAGGTCCTGGCCCTCCAGCAGTGCGTAAGAACATTTGAAAGTGTACAAGAATAACAGAAGTGAAGGGGAAAAAAGCTCTACATGTGAAGCATATCCGTGAAAGCTTAGATGAACATTCTCCCTAGTACCTGCCCACAAATATAAAATGGTATATATATCAAAGGTTTGTACGGTACGGTTGATTAGGTATTAGGGAGTTTTAGGGAACCGTTTGTGCACATTCGATAGTGTACGATGGGCCCTCCGGTACGAACTGCGGATATGGAAGACATCTGTGGAAGCGTATGCGGAGTTGGTACCGGAGGGCTCATCGTACCGCATAGAATGTGCAAAAATGGTTCCCTAAAACTCCCTAATAGCACACGCAAACACACGAACTGCACCAAAAAGCAAACAATTCTAAAGTCGACAAAAACAATTCGGTAAAGAAATATAAGATTTTTATAGAACGTGTTTAGGACACAAACTTCACAAAATGAAGTCCCCAAAATTTAACGCAAAAATAATTTCACGTAATTTGAAATTTAAATTTATCGTAAGAACCTAAATTGGTGTGAGAAAAATTAATTTCTATGATAAATTCAGCGAACTAACTTGAATAGGTTATAAGGTTACATAATTATGTTCCAATTCAATTTCTCCGCTAAATTAAAGGGGTCGTGCAGCGATAGTTGCTTAAAATCTCACTTTACACGAGTTTACTGGCACAAGTGGGGCAAAAGTACTCGCACGCAACGACACTGACCGACCAACTCCTTTTCTTGCGGTGTAATTTCAAGGACAAAAGCGAGCGTTTTCTTTCAATCTCTCCTTCGCAAAACTCGATGGCATAGCTCGGGGGTCGCAGTGACGATAATTGAATGCTGCTTATATATTGAAAACGAGAATTGCGTGAGCACTTGATGTGGGCTCGTGACAATCAATAGCTCGACAAGCATTCGGGTAGTGGCCCGTGTTCAATCGCTGCAATGACGACGTTAGCCGAGCCCTAACAATCTCTAGAACTCAAAGCGTGTCCAGTGCTTTGCCAGCCCCAGCGCGTGGCTATGATCAACATTGACGGCATATAATCGTCTTCAGATTACGTGGCCGCTTGTTCTGGCTGCGAGTTGAAGGAGTGAACGCCGCTCGTTTTTCTTTATTTCTTTTGTCTGACGCTTCTATCGCGTATGGTAAAAAACGAACGCGTGTCTCATTGGTCATTAACGCCAGCAATACGTTCTAAACGTTATTTGCGCAAAGTAAAAAAAAAAAAAATCGTTGCAACGCTCCTTTAAGCAAGAAAACCTGGACTATAGAACACCAACGTATTTTACTAACTAAACTTAGCGGGAAACGCTTTCCGCTATATATTGAGCTTTTCTAATAAAATAAGGCAAACATATCACCAACACGATTGCTTTAAAATGTGAAAAGCATAAGAAAGTTCACTTCAGCTTTGCCATAGGTATTAAGCCCCTTAAATATATGTGTACAATTTATAATATACCTCATATAGACGTCGATTCCCGTTAAAAGACATGTCACATAATCGGTTCAAGAAGATTATACAGCCCAGCTGCACCAAATGACTGTGGAGAAGCCACATAACAATATCCTGGGAGTTAATTTTTTCGTTGTGTCTAAAGGTACGTCTAAAGGTACGTCGGACAGACCCCCGGATCGAGGAGTTTCAAGGTAGTCGGACGTATCTGAAACGGGATGTCTAAAGATACGTCGGGCATATTGTAAGCACCCCGATTCTGTACAAGGAATTCAAGATCGGAGACATGCGATGTCTGCTCTCGATCAAGGCTGAGCGTACGAAACGTCGCTTGTTTCCTTTCCCCTTCTGTTTGCATGTGTTAACCGCACTTTTAGTTTTGTGCCCACCTTTACGTGCCGGCAGCACACTAGCTTTCGGTCCCTAGCACTCGGTTTCGTCATCAGTTGGTAGATGGCGACACACAACGGCACTTGCGCTATCGCGCAGGCACGTTAGAATATAGGCATAAGTAAGGCATCGTGTGTTCTGTTTTTGTTTCGTCGATGTTCCTTCGACTTCGTCGATGTTCCTTCGACTTCGTCGTCTGACTTGCAAACATGCCTCTTTTTTTATTTTTTACGTGGTTCAGGTTATTTGTTCAGGCGTTCAGAAGTTTGCTGTCCACCATTAATGCGAAGAGGACTCTGTGCACAGTGAAGTTATAAGCGGACGGTGATCAGGTACGCGAAAGACAATGGGAAGCACAATGGAGAAGACAGCGGGAGTAGGTATTCAAGGGCGCCGCGACTCGTAATAAGTGTACGGGACCGCGCAATAATGCAAAAGTCTACATCCGGAACTCCAGAAGAAATTCCGTGAATTTTTATGCCGCTAACAGGACGGAGCCACTGAGGACTCGTCAAGTCGTAGTGAGAGCAACTGGATGATCGTGCAAGGTGCGCGGTGAGAATTGACGGCGAGCGGGCTAATTCTCTCCAGGGTTGGTTTTATTTCTTCTCTGGCATTTATCTTATGAATTTCCTATAATAAAGTATTATTTCTTGCACAAATTTTGTAATTTCGGAGCATATCCCGAATGTAAACACCCGCACCTCCCCCCCGCCCCCCCCCCCCCCCCCCCGCCCTTTCTTGAACATCGCGGATGTGAAAAGAAAGGAGTGCTTAGAATGGACTAATTACGTTAGCGATTAGAAATAAAGATGGAATGAAAATTGCCTGTGGGGTCTCAGTAAGGCACTGCTAGGACCCGCTGTGATACGACCCTTGCCTATCGCGGCTACATCCGACGGATCTCCCGGTTCCGCGGACGTCCGACATGTATCTCAAGGTCCGGATATGTCCGGCGTACCTTCAGACTCCTCGTTCCGGGTACGTCCTACTACCTTTAAGAATTCCGGGTACGTGCGACGTTCCTTTAGACACAGAGTAATTTTTTTTTGTCTAGACTGCTGGTGGGGATACAGCACCAACAAAAGGTGAATATGAAGGATGGAAGAGTATAAATACGACGGACAGTCTCACATTGTAAACGCCGGAGCAGGAACCCCCCCTGGGCCCGTTTGCTCAAAGCCGGTTAACTTTTACCGCGGTAAAAAATTAAAGCCGTTTACAATTTTCTGTAATGCCGAATTAGAGCGCAGCTCTTGAGGAGGAGGAGGGAAGAGTACGGAGCGGAGGGTATGCCCCTGTTCCTTCCCCGCTAAATTTAGCGGGAAAATTTTACCCTCGTGACGTCATATGTGATGTCACGTGCGACGTCACGAGGGTATATTTAGCGGGAATATTTTCCCCGCTAAATTTAGTGGCAGTATTGGCAATGTTAGATGTATGTGACGTCACGGGACGTCATACATGACGTGTTTTTTATAATGACGCCACAGAGGGTAACGTCGTGACGTTACCCTCGTGAACCTCATAAGGGTAACCCTCGTAACCCTCCCGAGGGTAACCCTCGTAACGTCACGTGTGACGTCATTATGGGAAACGTCCCATAATGCAATGCGCGCTTGCGCTGACGGCGACGGCGACGCCGCTCAAGCTGGAAACGGGAGCCTAAGAGCTGTGTTCTAAAAGTCAACCGCCCGTCCCTACTACGTACCTACCAATACCTAGCCAAGTTTGACGAAGGCTGGATGAGCGATAGCTCCGTGTTTTATTATGGGGCGGTAGCTGGTGTCATCTACAGGTTGTAGCGAACAGAAGTGGCTTTTGTGGAAAAGTTTCCGAAAAGGGGGGACCCAAAAACGCGCGTTACCTAAAGCCCCTTGATGTTTCAAAAGTAGCGTAAGGTGTGTCGATGCAGGAGGAACGAGCAACGTGCAGCTCTTGGGAAGATCATGGCGGCACAGCGCCGCACTGAGCTAGATTTCAGACGCCCTGTTCTTCCCAAAAGTGGCGCGCGGCACGTGTCTCGAGCATTTCCACAGCAATGAATAGCGCCACTTTTCCCCGGATAGAGGGGCTTTAGCGTTACCGGGTTTTCGCGACGCAGCGCCGCATACATTGGAGCTTAGAAAAACCTAATGTTGCTCGGCTTACAGATATTAAGAAAGGGAAAGCTAAATTTATCCTTATTTAGAAAATTTCTAAATGCTTCGCTGTCTGAATTTGAAGACAAGCCTCGTAGAAATTTCCTTCCAAGTTCTAAAGAGGACGACGAAATTCAGTCCTAGAAACAACGAGAAGAAGTGAACAGTGAAAGACGGGTGGTACACCGTCAGCATGTTTGGCCAGCATGTAAGAACTGCACATACCACCATCATAAACTGAAAACCGCGTAAATAGGCTCCAGTAAAAATAGACCTATTACTAAATTGCCCATGCATCGAGGAGAATGCTGAAAGTGTAATTCTACGCTCCGCGCGCGCTGGCCTTCCCCGTATAAAAGATTCGAAGTAAATAACCGGCTTTGACAAACGCGCGTGCAAGGCAAAATTTGTTTTAGGCTTTTGCTTTAGAACCGTTACTACTGGAGACGCCAGCACGTGCAGCGCGTGTTATTAC